TGATATTGCTTATGAGAGGTCTTACTTAAGCTTTCTATAACACACACAATACTTACATTGGTTCCACAAGGCATTCTTGATCAAGGTCCAGTGACGCACCTTCAATGAACAGCCCACTCACCACCAGGCCTTGCTCCAAATCGTCGCTACTTTCGTCACGTGATAAGTAAGACTTCGCCAATGAACAGCGAAGTTCAACCTGTGAAGGATTCGGCAGAATTTTTCACAAACTGTCGCTGGCTTGTTCTTAATTCCAATGGTTACAAAACACTTGTATTCGGAACAAGGAAAGCTACCACTTAAGCGATTAACTAGAAAGTAGAGAGTACCTCGTCCACCGTACACCCAGCCATGGCGGCCTTCTCGTGCCTCAGTGACGTCATCAGCGCTCCGGGGTTGGCCAGGCCACCAAGCCAGACGGAAGTCAGCTGACCACGACCTACTAAGGGCTCGGAGTTTGGATTCGGAACGATACCACGCCGAACCCAGTCACTGAGTTGCTTGTGGCGCCGACTTAAGTCTGTTTTGAAAAGAAAAACAAAAAAAAGCAGCTGAACTGTTAGTACAATGAAGCAAGGCTGACACTACTTAGAAAACTAAATGCGACAACGACAGGATAGAGTCCAGCCTGAAAGCCAAGAATTGCAACCGTGGACAGCTGTTTCGACCTTGCTGGGTTGTCGGAGCCGAAATTACAGCAACCAGCACAAAGGGTAACTGTCTCCTAAATGCCAATGGTAATGACCTCAGATGAATCGAAATGTTTGCGGATTGATCAATGTCACGTGCACACCGCGTGACTGTGGATAACAGGCTAAAATGTCGTGATGACAAAATCCTACAGAAAATACCTGCACAATGCCACTTAGAAGAAGACAGCATATCCGCTGAGACAAAACTAAATACAAATGTGGCAAGGGACTCCAACTGAAAATCGGCTAGCATGCTGCTTTTAGAGATCCTACTTATACCAGCAGCATTTTAGCTTGCAGCCCCTTACCACATTTGCATTTTATTCGATCTCCGCCATATTGTTGTACGTTTTCTGTTTTTTTTGTTTTTACTTCTTCGTTTCTCAGACACGGAAAGGTGACTCAATTTAACGCCTTAAAAAGAAAAGCATGTCTTGGCTATGCAAAGCAACCCAGTTGGTGATGTCACCATTACCTATGAGCCAAGATGCAAGACTGTGGGGGGAGGGCTGACAATCGGGATGCAGCCAATCACTGGGGACCACTTCTTCCTGCAGCGCATCAACAACGGGCACGAGGGATGTTGGGATTGCAGGTGAGCCTCCCAGCACGCACTGCTCCAGAATTTGTAAAGAGTGCCGGATGTGATAAAGAAGACAATTAAACCACTGGCATTCCTGAAAACAAATGAAGAAAAAACAAGATTTTACCCTGGTAATAACCAACTTTGATAAAAACCATCGTTTCTTAAAATGTTCAGTTTTACAGGAATGGCCAAAATTAGAGAAGTGGGAGTAACAATCTTGAGCAGAATTTCATGAATCGTCCGCCTTGCAAAGTTTTTACGCGATACAACAGTCAAACAGCTGGAGTAAATCCTCAAGCAAAAGATCATAAGGTGTCAAAACTAATGAGCCAGCAATGAACAGTGGAATTCCCATTTCTCAAACCCTCAATTTTTCCAACTTCCCGATAACTCGAACCGCGAAAAACGGTGAGCTCTCGCCAGGCTTCTCCCCTATTTTTTCGTTCGCTGTTTTAATTTCGCGCTGCGTCCCCAACTAACTGGACGCCTGGAAAAGGCTATTTCCCTCCCCTCAGTCAGACACTGTAATTTTACCTTCGATTTCTCCAACTATCCGATTTTTCAAACCAATTTTCGTTTTCTTTGGAGCGTCGAGAAACTGGGAATCCAATGTTACTTCTTTAGAGTGTAATTAGCCTCTCTACCCAGAGTATATATGCTACGGATGCAACAAAAATGATCATTTTATTATACCTTCTGTAAGACATAACCCATAGACTCTGACAAGCGTTCATCCGAACCAACAGTGCTACCGGACTCTGAATAAACAGACAAAGCTCGCAGCTGAGACAACACGCGTGGAAGAAGCTGAGTGACAGGCATAGCTCCGTCTCCTTCTATTTTTAGCAGCGTGGGCAGCCGTTCAAGACATAGGTCCATTGATGCACGCAAGCGAGGCATGTTAACCACGGCTCCAGCTGAAGGTTCTTGCGCAAGCGCAGTGGTATGATTGATGTCCCGGTGCAGCTTGTTGAGTTTATGAATGAATTCAGAGGTACTGCAAAATTAAGAATAGCGCCATGTTATTAGCAACTATTACAAATATAATCTATCAAGTATTTTCGCTCGAGCACGATTGCTCTAAATGCGTCAAGTGACTGAATAATCCCCCAGCTAAAACTGGGATAATATTCCCCAATTTTCAAAACCGCGCGTGTTGCGAAACATATTAGATGGATAACAAACACAATAGCCTCCATTTGGTGCGAAAATAAGCTCGGATATTTGTCCTTGGACATTTTCTGTTCCTCAAATCTCTCAGTTTTCCTCGAGCTACGCTCTCGGAAAACTGTTTGCTTCTCGGAACAGATAATGTCCGCGGACAAATATCCGAACATACTTTCGGGCCAAGTGGAGGCTACTGTTTATATAGCTGCTGTGTGCCCGCTACTGGACCTGAGCGTGCATATTTGTTTTAATAGAATAAGAAGCATGAATAGAAATTATAAAGCACGTACGCTCCGGATGTTGTGTTGCCAATGCAATCACCGCCCTCTTCTAGGATGTAAATTTTTTTTTTTTTTTTTCAATTTTAAGACAAATTTTAAGATGCAAACGTGCATTATTTCCTAACAGAGCACGGAACACCATCTCCCATTTGGTAAATAACTCTTTGAAGTTAATTCTTACCGAGCCTCATTGTATTCCCGTTCGACACTAATGTCTAGACCCAGAGCCTTAACTGTACTCATGACCGCGTCCTCTGTCCCAGTCTTCTCGTTGAACCATTTGCTGTACTCGGTTGGGTCTACATTGGCCGGTGGTACAGGCAGGCTGATGGAACCTAGGGCGAGCGATGAGTGCTGTTGAAGAGCGGTCTCTTTAATCACTTGATGTGTCAGGATTGCAACATAGCGCCGGTCCCATGGGTCAGATACTTTTCCACCATACACACCCTACCAATATAACAGTACAACACATGAACTTTCGCACGTATGCTATAAAAAGCTCTAATCTTCCAGAAGCTATTATCGAGAACTATAATCTCAGTAGACCGCAACGCCGAAGACTCGTCACCCTTAGATTAACCACAAACAATCTCAAGACCGCGGAAGATGGAAAATGAATCACGTGGTCTTCTTGTCAGCACCACGTAGACAAGTGTTCAGCGTGACGTGAAAAACTAATCCTGTGGTTCAGTTCAGACCAACGTCCTACATGATGAATGCTCTAGCTACCACGTTGGGTTTAGATCGTGAGGAATTCAAATGAATCTGGGAAAGAGAGAGTACACTAGCGTACAGAGTTGAGCAACGTGTCAGGAAAAAAAAGGAACAAAAGAAAACTCACTGTGGTCAGACAATATAAAATTCACTATAGCATATTATCGCAACATATTTTTTGGGACAATCTTACCTCAGCGATAACATCAGAAAGTGCCTTTAACTGTGACGCCCCTAAGCCCTCTTGCTTTGAGGCCCATTTGATCACCATTTCAAATGACGTCAGTAAGTCACGTGTAGACAAAGGGTAGCGACCGCTGGACGCTCGCGTACCGAGCTGATGGCGCATAAGCAACACACTGTGATTGACACATAAACCAAACAAGGTGGAACGGACTGCGAGGGACTGCTCACGAGCTTGTTCCCAATACAACCGAGGAACAGCCTGTTAATGAGAAAACGATACTCAGCGAATGACATCATGAAAGAAATATAACGTAGAACTGCGAAAGTAACTGTCTCCCAAAGTGGTAAATTTGGATGGCTAAAGTTTTAAGCGTTAACTCTCCGTAGGAGCTAGGGTTTCTAGAGCAGCCTAAGTCCTCATCCCGTTACACAAAAACACATGTCAAACACATATCTGCAATTTTATTATGATCACTCCTGGTAGCGTATCCTCGATATTTTAAGATATCTTAAAGTGCTTCGATGAACGCCTAGGCCAACGCTCGGAAAAAAAAAGTACTTATTGCTTTCTTAGATTAGAAACTGCCTTGTAGCTAACGATTACCTGGGCACTCCCCCGTTAATTTCCAAAACAAGGATTCCACCCCACCCCAAAAACAGATGTAGTTTTTCAGCAAGTAAAATCTCCCCCACCTCTCCCCTCAAAGAAGCAAGAGATAGTTCAAATGAATGTAATAAATGTTTTGAACCAAGCAGTATCAGCGTTTCGTCTTGGGTGATCGTCAGGGTGAGGGTAGTTCTGAAAAGAACTGTTGTTGGTGACTGACGTTTCGACAATCAGCGGAAGTCATCTTCAGAGTCAAGTGAATAGTGTGTGTCAGTCAGTAATGTTACAAGTCTGGTCCGTTGAAAGTGATTGGCCAGTTTAGTCATGATGGTATTGGCTAAAAGACTCGTGTTAAGTTTGTCAGCAGTCACTGGTCGATTGTAGTAAGGTTCGAACCATCTTTTGTTAGTCCCAACCGAGTGCTTGGCTGTTAGGCAAAGCTGCCCCATCATACCTCAAGTGTGGACGTAATGATGGTTTTCAAGTCCAGGTCCTTAGAGTTCAGGGGTTGGTATTCAGGTCCCTCTCTCTGTACCACGTCCCAGGCCAGCTGATGTGAGAACAGCAGAAGTCCTACTGGCAAGTGATCCGCGGGCTCGCAAAGCAGGAAAACGCGCCATTGAGATGGAGTCGAGGACGTTTCTAAACAATTTTTTAAAAAAGTCACACGATTACTTACATTGCACACAAAATTACATACCAAATCGTTTAAATCAAATTGTCAGTAGTTCGTCTAGTGTGATCGGCCCGAAGAAGATAGTCCTTAAAAGGACCATATTGTGGTGACGGACGCTTACAAGTCATCTAAATAGTCAGGTGAAAAGCGTCTACTATCAGTCAATAATGTAAGTCTCTCGCTGCAAGAATCGTCAGTATAAGTTTCATCAACAGTAATTAGTCAGTTATTGTTAATTTCGATGCATCTTTCGTTAGTCAATATAGTGGTTCCGTTTGAAAAAGAGTTCCTTTGTTGGTTATGCTAAAGACGTAGATAAGTCAATTGCTAGGTGTTGGTAGCTGTTATATAGACTTCGAGTAGTCCACGCTTCTCGCCCCAAGGATTTCACGCGGCCATTTTTTCCTCGCGGTTTATTTACGGTCTCGCTCGACGGACTAAGCGAAAGAGGGACTGCTCGTAGTCTAGCAGTTATAATATGACGACCAATGTTTGGCGTAGAAGTGTTTTAGAACCCAAACTATTCTAGCCCTTAAATATATTCCAAGCCTCTCTGCTCCACTCCATCCCAAAATGACGGATACTTACCCGCTTGCAAATGAAGTCTGGACAATCGATTATAAAGTTGCTCAAGCCAATGGCGGGAAGCCAGTTGAAGGTTTTCTATCACTAACCAAGTGTCAGTCCGCACGGCGGTTGCTAAGGCAACATCAATGATTTCTTCCTGCCCGTGTCCCACGGATATCTGCTGGCACTGCACATTATGAGCCTGCAAGTTGAAAAGCCAATAACCTTATTCAATTTGTCTGAGATTGCCTGCACATCACGGTCTCTTCTGGGTTAAGCGAGGTGTTACCACAAAGCTACAACTAGATTGCACCATGCAAAAGGCTAAGTTACAAAGAGTACTGTGAGGCTTGGAAGCGTGCCACAAAGCTTGGTTAAATGGCGTCTCATAAGACTTGGCTGCACGGCATGAGGAAAACATTCTATGAGAGAAACATGCAGCAATCGGCTTACAATTCTGCAAGGTAAAAATTATTACATACTTCGACGGTTTCAAAATAGCATTGAAGGTATTGACGAACCGAACGCATGGTTGGAAAATATACAGAGTAATACAATTCCGTCTGTCTCACCTCCGCTATCCGTCGAATGCTCTCAACAGGACTAATCTTGAATGGCGTGTTCATAGACGTGTGGTCTGGCATCACGACAAAAATAGGAATCGAATGTTTAATACCAGACAGGAGTTCATCGAACCGCGGAAGAGACTTTTCCACTAGATCACCCACTTCATTTTCAACAAATATAAGCATGGCTCGTTCAAATCTATCAGAACGCAAACAGCGAATCATCAACAGTCTGTCAAGTGCAGTCAGGGTTGGTGAATCTTCAGCGTCTTCACTTTCTATGGGCAGCGGTTGCGCTTCGGGGCGTTCGCTCTCATACCAGTCCCTCCACGGTCCAGGATTGGACGCGATGTGAGTGCAGACGCTGTCCAAGGGACCTTTGAGGCTGGATACGGCCATGATTAGTTCCCAAGACTCTTGCGCGATCCAGCTTGGCTGAAGGAGCGTGGGATCGAAGTCTGAAAGCGCAGGAACTGGAGAAGATAGCTTTCCTAGAAATAACACAGAAGAGTGGGGTTAGTTCAAAGGCGAAATGTTCGTTAAATTAAGAGTTAAAGTTTAGGTGAACTTACCAGAAAGTAGAAGTGAGATTTCCTCCTGGACCAGCCCGTCTTCAGCACGTTTTTCTACTTTGTAGAGCGTGAGAAGAGAAGAGAATAACAATCGATGGTGCTGGTCTATACTCCTGTGAATGAACAAAGGATAAAAACTCGTCATCGTCAATTAGTTTTGCTCTCTTAGAAACTGTAACTCAGGAATAGCTAACTAATTGCAGATTTTAAGCGTACATTACCCTCCTCTCTTACCATTTGACTTTATCTACTAGGAATTAAAATATTGAAGACCGCTACAAAAGGGAGAGAAATCACAAGTCTGCCATGACCCTCGGATTGAACGCAAGTTCATCAGTGGCAGGTAACCCATCAAATCCTTTCTTCAGAGCGTATAACTGACCTGTTAGCCAAAGCATGATAGCGCTGCATCTGCTTAATCTCCTGTTGAGCTGCAGTACACAAGAAGCAAAACGTACCTGCTAACGTGACGGTAGAATGATTGGCTGAGCGAGTCAATGAGCTGATCTGTCTGCTCAGGGCTATAAGGGGTGTATTCCACGCCGGGAGATGGCAGTTGGACCTCAGCTGGAAGGATAACTGACATGCGCTTGGATGGCAGCTTCTTATGAGAAGGATTTCGACCTTCATCACCTGCAGAGGGAAAGAGAAAGGTCCGATAATCTTTCATAACACGACTCCATTGAAGTTATTCGACTAATTCTGTTATTCCACGTTTCTGTGAATGATCACTGATTGACATTTCTATCATAGCCACCAGCCTAACGGAGCTGCCTCACCTGATATAAGTCTCTTTATTTTCAAATTTAAAAAATTGAATTTAATCTAGAGGAAACATACGAAAGAAATTAAAGGAGCACGCCATTTCTAACGCGAGGCACTCATGCCGAGGCGCTGATTTGAAGTTTCAAAACGCCTGTATTAAGATTTTAAGGAAGCTGTGGCGCATTGTCTTAAAAGTCGATCGAAGAAGGCATTAAAATAATAGGTAAGACAGAACAAAAGAGGTCATTAAAAACCAACAAGAAAAAGGAAGACTTGAACTGAGGAAGACTGATATGATATTTAAACTATACTAACCCAGGTGTATAAATGGGTACCAGCGAATTTAATGCTGGGAGTGATCCTGCAATCTTGCAATGGACTGGCATCCCATCCAGGGGGGAGTAGAACTGAATACTCCTAGTCGCGTCATGCTACAGAAACCGGGATAAGCTCAGACCTGGCCCATATGCAGACTTTACCTTTACCTTTAATAACTTTGCTTACCCTGAACCACAGCCGGTGGTGGCGCTCCTTCCACATCAACCGCCTTAATCTGAACAGTCGTTCTAGATTCCTTCTTGATCCCCTCCGTGTCTTCACTGTCTGATTCGTATTCCAGTTTGTCTTTGAAAGGCTCGACATCCCGCCCGACCGCAGACCGGAACAGAGATAGGAAGTAACCGAGGGAGAAGCGATACTCGTGCTGTACTCTGGACAGCGAACTCAACAGCGAAAACATCATCACCGCACGCTTGGCCAGCGGTTGGAAGAGTTCGCGCAAACTCTTCAGTCTGTTAAAGTTGTTTAGTGTGTGGGTCAGACGGTGAGCGACCTGGAACGAGACAACAAGAAATAATTACAACAAAGCTATTTGAACAAACTCAACAATAATTTTACAGGACGTTCTGCCTACATGAATACAGTCCAAACCAGATTACACAGTTAACTCTTTTTACATAAAAATAATTTCACACTTTTTTGGTCTTTGTCATTTCGGACTGGAAGCAGCCTTGTCCCCAAGGTAGAGAGACCTTGGGAAAGAGTTTCGGCTGGAGGTCGTCTCACTCACCTCAGACCTACACTTGACAAGTTCAGCAATGACTTCAGTTTCCTCCCAGATGTCAGTGCCCTGCCGAGCGGTCACCAGACCTATCAGCTTGCTGTCGATGTTCTCCAGCAGCCTCAGTAACTCCATCATCACCATCAAACTCTTACGGCTCTCCACATAGAGCTCAGGCTGCACGCGGTGAAAAGCCTCGATCTCGATCTCCTCGGCCAAGGCTTCCTCGTCAAGTCGTAGGTTCACCAGAGTGGTGATTGAAGATACTTCAGTGCTGAAGGCTGGCCGAGAGGATCTGGATATGAGGTACAAGCGAAACTCGGGGTGACACATGACGCGGCGGGAACCAAACTTTACCAGCTGGGAGTCTGAAAACCAAAAGACGAGATAAATTACTCTAAACCTTCAAATACGAGAATCGCAGGTGCAAAACAAAAAATATATGGTTTAAGCTTATAAACTTGACATATCGGGCATCTGTACGAAATTGAATGGTAAATGGTATCCCAGGGTTAGATTTAGCGATCAATTTGACAAAAGCACAATAAAGCCGCGCTAATTAGCCTTGTAGTGTACTCTTTTCCACCACACAATATTGAAACCTTGCAATTTACTTGCTAAACTATTGAATCTTTCTACAAGAGAATTAGATTCGTAGACAAAACCAGGTTTGGAAAACTAAACTACGTGAAAAATCCTCATTCAAGGAACAATGAGCTATTTTGTCTGTTTTCCAACCCAAGCTTTGTGTCACACCTTGTTCAGTCTCTTCACAAGTGGATGTGGTGACGTGATAAATTAGAGGCATAAAGAGCGAGTCGACGTCACGATCGATATTGTATAACACCAGAGCTGTGCCACTTGTTACTGCCTTCTCAATCTTCAGAATGGAAGATGGGTCACTGAGGGACAAAAAACAACCGATGATTAAACCATGGGCTCTTTTGTAGAAGATCACCTACAAGAGACCATTTCAACCCGGGGAGAAGGGCTTCGTTGACCTTTTTGGGGGTAATTCGGGGCCATCCATACACCTCTTACAATAGGCCATTTCCGAGTTGCCTTGTGCTTCTGTTCCAAAACGAGTAATCGTGCAAAACATTTCAACTGAAAATGAGTTTGACTTGAATGAAAATTAACATGTAGGGGGAAGACTCGTTTTGACACAGAAGCAAAAAGCAACTCGGAAGTGGGCTGTTGAATGAAACTTCAAAATTCTGAATAAAAGCACTAGAAGACGTAATTAAAATGGTAGAAACCCACATTTAAGATCACGATTAAAATTGTTTGCATTAAGCTAAGCTTGCAAATCAAGTGATTTTTATGGTCGGAAATCATATTTAAAGGCAAGAATCACCAATCTAGGCCCTGTTATGAAGACGTAAATCTATTGGCTTACCTTTCCGCTAGATCAATCTCCAGCAGGTTCTCTCCATCCTCTACGGTCCTAATCAGCTCAAGTCCCTTATTATAGGGGTCCACCAGCAGAGGGACACGTTGCCATGACGACTTGGCCAGTATGGCGTTCTCTATCTTCCTGGGACCCACTCCCTTAGTGAGAAGCCTTCGCACGTGATATTCACCCAAGAGAAGCTTGAGCACGGCTAAAGCAAAAGAATCATACTCCGTCAGTTTAGCGCGACTTAGCAGCTGGTCTTTGCCGACTGAGAACATGTAATCATCAGATCCGTCTTCTTGTTTTTGTGGTGACGGTTGTTCTTCTTTCTCGCTGTGTTCTACGTCTTGTTTTTCTAACTCTGCGCTGTGTGGCCTTTCTTGTTCCCCTTCTGTTTCTTTTTCATCTGTCTCCTCAGCTATGATAAGAGAAGAACGAAGTTTTTTTTTTAATTCTGTTGACATATATTTGGGGTTTCTTTTCCGTATTTCTAGTTGAGTATTGCTTTGAGATACACTGGAATCCGATTTCTCGAACTCTTTATTTTTCAAACCTCCCGATAACTCGAACCAAAAGTCGTTCCCCTCCCTCAGTCGAACACTGTAATTCCAATTACCTGATTTTTAAACTAATTCTCGTTTTCTTTGAAAGTACGAAATATCGAAAGCATATCAGCATGGTAAACGGTTACATATTTGGCACATAACGGACGATACTCGTTGTCCAAATACAAAGGAAAAGAAAAACAGATTCGAACAGTTACAAAGCAATTTTGTCAGCGCGAAGAAACAAGTTACTAAAAATTTAATGGTAAACACCATCTACGAAGACAACATTGAAATCACTAAAACAAGAAAAATAGTTTTATTTAAGAGTTGCGGGATTGTGATCACACTTTTGAGCATTTGATTAAATAAATTTACAGTAAAAGAGACATGAAAACAGTCCTGATAGCTGCATTTAACAGGATTTCATCTCGTCAATTTCAATTCCTTAATGCCTACTATCTAACGATATAAAACAACGGATCAAGAGACAAAAACTTGACACGTTACCATTCGGCTCATCCTGTTCTCTGCTTTCGTCTTCGTTTACATTTTCATCTAACTGTCCTCCAGGTACTTCCTGCTCGCTTACAGCGGGTTGGGCACTGCTGGTCGGCGCCTGCTGTGCCTTCTCCATCATGAACACCTCTGCGCCTGCGTACGGAGCGGAGCTGTCTACCACCAGCATCACGCCTCGCTCGTCCAAACACTTGGGCCAGTGCACTGTCAACATCTCACGGCGAAACGAGAACGAGTAGGGGCCTAAGTACGTGGCAAAGGCAGCTGCCATGGCGACGCCACCGGCGACGGCTTCTTCGCGGGTGCTGATAGATTCGAGGAGTTGCAGCCACTTTTGCCGACCACTTGACAACACCTTACGTGGGAACAAAATTACAAACATTAAAACACAAGGCTACCAGTAAGTTCTAATGATCACATCAGACAGGCAAATTTTACCACCAAGCCTCACTTTGAAAATGCAAATTCAAAGTTTTATCGTAGACAAATTCCCAAAGCAGCAAAGATGAAAAAGGACGTTAGTGGCTATTCCAATAACATAACACTGTGCTTCTTCTACTTTCCCACCTGTTCAAAGTAGGCCGCCTGTGACAACTGCGAGTCTAAAGTCTCTGTTAGCTCGTATTGTCGACATTTGTCGATGGACGCGTCTTCGTAAGCTTGAGCCAAAGACCTCAGGCGTTCCTCGAGATCCTTAAGTTTGCTCTCCATAGAGGACAATTTACCCACAGCCAGCTCTACTGCCGAGGACGTTTCAGACACTTTGGAATGAAGTGGTTTGACTTTTGACTGCATCATGCGATGATATCTTGTAAACAAATAATGCACACACATAGCTTATAATAAACCAAGGTCAGAACTCAAAGCGAAAGTAGTTAACTGGGCCACGTTGTTCAAAGCCTGATTAAGTTAACCCAAAATTAGCGAGAATTTTGATTTTAGTTTTGTACTTTTTGGACACCCTTAATGCTGTTGCCATGACAACAGTTTTGCCCCTGGCGCTGTCTTAATAAAAACTGAAATTCCCAGTTTTTGTCTTAAACTAAAAACCATCTACTCCACCCAATCTAATGATGGGAGTTAAGACAATATGGGAACTATGTCTGTTCCAAGTAGGACCCTTTGTCTCACTTTAGAGGTTGCAAATGAGGATATTTGGTTTTTTTGACAGACAGAGATTGGCGCCGAAAGAGTTGCTATGGTAACAGCACTAAGGGTGTCATTTTGTTTCTTTTGTGATGCACATTTGTGGGGCCAAGTTTCAAGAACACTGCAAAACTTCAAAAAAAAAAGCCATTCTTCTGTATTTTGAAAGGCCTGTCAAATAAGCAGAAATTATTTTTCATGTCATATACACTTTAAGCAAAATAGTATGCCTTGGACAAACCCAGTAGATCTTCGTTCTGGAAGATGTATTCCGAACGTAACAGAAGCCTGTTCTACTAGAGCTGTGACTGCTGTTACCTGACAACTCCTCTGACCCACAGTAACAGGGAGCCCACCGCAGGATTGTTGGTTTTCTTCTCAAGATAATCGCCGTTGAAGTGCGGTTTTTTAAGGTAAGGCTCGACGACTTCCAAGGTGCTCTCTGTGAGTTGCATTTCATCAAAGACGCCCAGTTCTTCGCGAAACCTGGAATGAAGAGAGTACAATTAGCAAAAGAAATATGGTTCAAGTTAGGCAATGATGTACTTTTTGGCTACGGATAAAGGCTTGAGTAGCTAGTAAGACGAAATCTAAATTAAAAATAGTATTAAAGAGGAAATTTCCTGTTGATTCCGCCTAAATGTGAGATAGGAAGATATGGGGCGTTATAGAAGAGAAGCAAATGACAGACAAAAGCATTACAGTCTATCAGTCACAGTAAGTTAGTCAGTCATTAAGACCGTCAAACCGTCAGTTACAACATAAACCACGTCACGTTTACCTGTCTAAATTGGCCATCAGACGCTTGGCTCCTTTGTTCCATGTCAGGTCGGACGAGGGAGACTTGACTGAAAAAGAAAATAGAAGCATCAGAATCAACATTATCACACTTGTTATTGTGTAGCAAGCCGGTCCATGATGAGAAGAAATGCTATGAACGAGTAGTACGAATTTTGCAACAAAGACCCCTGGCTTAGATGGAATACTAACGACATAGTTTTTGATCGTAAGGCTAAGTCCATTAACTTGCAAAGACAAGAACTTGACCAAAATTCTTTCAATACGGTCCTCATGGAGTTCAATAGCATTGACGCATTCGGTAAACATTTGAGGACGGAGAACAATGGAACAGAACCCACAAGCCAGAAAGAATAGGGTGTAACCCAAGAACAACTGGTGTTGCACACTGTTGAGTGATCCTGACAATTAGATAGATATGCCATCGGCCGAGATAGAGGGCCAGTCAAGAACCAAATGAGAGTCACAGTAGACGTCCTATGCCCCCATAGGACGACAAGTCATTGAACGCACAACAAACTGGCTTCAGCCCAAGTCAGCACTCATACCACATACCAATAATGATGATAGCGGCTAACAGATCTTCAATTTCGTTATCTGGTTTCTGCAGAGCTCGTAACTCCGCAAGTCCTTGTCCGTCAAGGATCTTTAATACTCTCTTTGTTTCGGTTACAACTGCAGCAGCCTTGAACACCGCTCGCTCGTGAGCTATCTGGTATTCTGGAAGAGCCTGGAAACGACAAAAAAATGCTAATTACATTGTTAACTCTTACGACGGCTTAGCAACGGAAAGGGATAATCTATAAGTTGGGCGATGTGCATCTGCCTGTATTGAGCGACACATCAGTTAAACAAAGAACACGAGAAGTCCCACGAGATAAAGAAGTAAAATGCACTTTTATAGATTTTCTCGCCGCATGATGCAGTAGATATTTTGTTGCTTAGTTTGGGGCTTCTCTGTTAAACAGCCACCTTGCATAACAGTCCATTTAATCTATCACAATCAGCTTCTGTTCACAGTTGTTAGAAGCGGTTTACCTTCTTCAGATTCTAGATGGTTCTCTATACTTTTTCCTTTTGACAAACCTGACCTGCTCTCGGGAGGGCCCTCCTGCCTGTACTGCGACAATCAGAACTACAGATCTACCCGCAGCAACGTATTACAGCTGCTAAAAGAACTTTACCTTTTTCAGTTTCTGTATCCTCTCTTGCTGCCGTTTAACGAGTCTGACTTGCTCTTCAGCGATCGCTTTGTCCTTTGAAAGAAAAACTCAAATTATAAAAGAAAATGAACAAGACATACGTCTAGGTTCGTTGAAACGACAAGCCAATACTAAATTAAAATCAGTTCAAATTAAAAATCGTTTAGTACCTGTCCAATCTGAAGAAGCAACTGAAGATTACCCTGAAAGAAGAAAACCAAGCGAAGTTATTGACAATCAAAGACAAACTGAGAACAAAATACTTCACTGTCGGTAGAAACAAAGAAAAACCTTCAATGGGCACAGGACGCCGAGTTTTATAATCAGAGAAAACTTTAGCTTGGTGAAACAAATACAACCAGAGATATAGCTGCCCAACCATAATTGCCCTCTCCATTCCTGACCTAGGCCTTAAACTGCTTGAGGGTGGACTATCAATTTGCTGAGGGCAGCACTATCCCTGTTATTATCCCACATACCTCTTTCTTTTGTTCGAGTACCATCTTTTCGTGACCAAGTTGAGTCTTCAGTTGTTCGGCCAGCAGAGTTCCTCGCTCGATGGTTTGTAACGCTGCTGCCATCTGCTCATGTTCTCGCCGGAGAACTTGGTGGCGTTTCTTCACCAAGCAAATGAACCTGAGAAGAAATTATTCAAAGCAGTGTAATGCGATAAATCGATTAAGACAGTTTTTGTCTGTGCGGATTTTTCACGTCGTTAGTGTTTCTTTCACATTGAGGATAAGCCCGTTTGCTGTGATTACAGCAGTTTTCAGTTTGAGTGTCAAAAAACCAAAACCAAGGCAATTTCAATGTCCAATCATAACAAACAAACGTAAGCAACACAATGACTCAATCAGAACAAGACACGAAGACGGCGAAAAGCGCAGGAAGGTAGAATGACCCATTCGCGGTAGGCTTCGCATCTGGTTGGTTGACTAAGTGATTTAAGTTTTCTAAACCAATCAGGGTAAAGGAGGCTTAAAGCAAAGCGATTCTGGATTGCTTTCCACAGTCAGTTGAAAGCAACTTTACCAGTGAATAACTGGGTCTTACCTTTCGACAAATACTTCAAAGCCAGTGTTGGTGATGTGTCCGTATGTTCCACACTGTTCCTCGCCAGAATCCTGCTGTTTTATTGCCAAGTGCATAGAGGCCAGCAAGTGAGCAAGATTTTCTGTCTGCACAGGCGAGAAAATCTCTACATCTGGTAAAAGGACACGAAAACACGAGTTTGCTCCAAGCCTTTCAAACACACAGACTATACAGTAACTCGTCATTCAGGCCTTACGTAAGCTAAAACATGTTATTTGCGTCACATTCATCGGCCGTGTTTCCTCGTCCGGCAAGATAAATGTTTCTTTTTTCTCCATTTCATAGTATTTATAGCAGATTACAGATAAGCATGGCATTCATGAGCGTGTAGTGGTGATCGAGAAGTACATCTTACTCCGTTACAAAACAAAACAGTTCTTTCAGTGAAATCAAGATAAATAAATTTCAAAAGTTACCTTTCAGGAGATGGTACGCATGTGTGACCAAGGCTTCCTTAGACCAGTGGGGTAAGAGGATGATGGACACAGTGTTCATTAAGGAGGGAAAATCACGACAGCGCTTCTGAAACCTTGGTCCCAGTGACGACACGGTCAGAACAACACGAAGGTTTTCTCTCACAGTCCTGGAGAAGAGGGTTCGTAACAGAGTTAACGACACCAGGCAAGTGTTAATGCAATACTTCGCTACATAACAAAACCCTAACACTAATCTCCAAACCACTCTATAATACTTCGTAATAATAATATAATAATAATAAATTAATATTTTAAGAGGAGGCCTCCAATCACCTAGAGGTTGTTTTCAGGAGGGTCCTGTAAAAAAACAAAAGTCTAAAATATACATCACGACAGCGCTTCTGAAACTTCAGACTTCATGCTTTGGTTTGCCTTAAATTTCTACTATAGTTTCATCTCTCTTGATCCCCC